AATGGTTGGTTTTCAAATGGTTAGTAACCAGCTCAACCACCTCTACAATGCCTTCATGACATATTTTCCTCTATCTCCATCACCTTTATTTTAAGTACTTGTGAAAAACAGATTTGATCTCTTATCTTTATCTTAGCATTTTTTTTATGTTTTGTGATCAATTCTGTTGAACATTGAGGATAATGTCCAATTTAAGTGTGAGGGTAGCACTTAGGTTTTCTTTTATTATTTTTGTATTTGTTTGTGTATTTTGTATGTTTGTTTTTAGGTTATTAGGTCGTTTCCCTATAAAAAAATTGAAAAATGAAAAAAGAGAAAAGATGAAATAAATGCCATTGTTTAGTATGATGTCCTTCTTGATTGATGTTTGATAATGAGTTTTAATAGAATTTAATGAGATGATTGAGACTATCCGGGATATTATTGTCATAAAAGTACATGTATCCTAGAAACCTTTATGTGTTTTTATGATTGAGTATGATTTAAATAGTAACACTAACTTTGCAAGTACTCTTTGGAAACTAGACCTAAGCATGGTTTAAATAAAGTAGATTTTCTAACTTTTATGAAAAATTGAAAAAAAAATCCGAAAGGCATTTTATTTGAAAATTTTGGCCTAATTAAGTAAAAAACTCTACTCCAATGATTTGAGTTGCTTCGTAACCAAAAGTATTCATCATAAATGTTTACTTTTTTGTCAAACGTAAATTTGAATTATGAGTATGCAAAACACTCTAAGTTGATGACTTGCTAAGTAATTAGTTGCCTTCATCACATATGTTGATAGTCATGTAAAAAGGCAAATGATCGCTTAGAAAAAAACTATTAAAGGCCTTGAAAAAGATTAGGATGCTTAAAAAGAAAATTTTTCATTAAAGGAAATCTTGGTTTATTGCTTTACTTGTAGTGGTAAAAAAAAGGGTAAAAGAAAAATAGGTGTTGCATGCTTGAATTGTAATTGGTTATAAAGATGCATAAATCAATTTAGAGACATGCATAGATATAAGAATAATGTCTTGAACATGATTGATTTGATAGTGGAATTTTGTTGGATTTTGAGTTAAGCATGAATGTTTGAAGGATAATCATACTAGCATGACATTCATCTAAGCGATTTTATAAGTTTATCGTCCGAAAACTCTCACGAGACACAACTCATCCACTAAGGGTAACCTAAGGGTTTAAAGGCTTGTTGCACATGCTAAATGCAACCTTGATTCCTATGAAAGTGAGTTAGGTTTTGCTCAAAGACTAGCAAAGTTTAAGTGTATGAGTATTTGATGAGTGCATAATTAGCATGATTTTTATGCTCTTTTACATTGAAATTTTTACTATTTATTGTATTACATTTAGTTAATTAAGATCAAGATAACGATTTGAATCTTATAGGAAAATTGAAAAATTAGAGCAAAGAAACCCAAAACCAAAGTAAGGAGAGGAAAAGTCACCAAGGATGCTAAGAAGTCACAAGATCGTGCAAACTTACAAAGGAAAACAACTATTGGTCGTACGACACAAATGAAAAAACCATATGGCTATTAAGCAAGAGGCACCACATAGGTAGAAGCCTTCCACATGGTATCAGCAAGGAAAGCAACATGCACATGCATGTGTCAAAGCCAAAACACCTTCTAAGAGAAAAGAAACAACACAAAAGCAGAAGGTATTCCACACATAATGCACTAAAGAGAGACATGCTCATATGAGTCAAAGCTAGAAGAAGAGACCCGTGCATAATGAAGTTACACGGAATGAAGAACAAACCCACACGATCATTTGCCTATGTCCATCAAATGGTGCAACCCCAATTCTCCAAGGCTCTAGTCAGTGTGAAATAGAAGAGCAAATTGTGTGTCTTTACTAAGCAATTCATGTGACTATGTGGGGCTCACATATGTGTGAAGTAGCCCTACCTTTTAGCTATAAATAGTGATGTTAGGGCTTTATTTTTGGATCACAACCCATGAACAACTAAACATCCATCTTGATTGAAGGATTTTGAAGCTTTTGGTTAAATCGTTGTGACATACTATCGAGTTTTAATTCTAAACTTATCTTTTTTTTAGTATTTTATGTTTTTCTACATGATTTGATTATGGTTGTGTGATTAATTAATTAAAACGCAAGCTAATTACTTGATCATCATGATCTATTACTAACTAAGTATTCAAGTCTCGTGTAATTACTTGTTTAAGCTAGCTTATGGTAGTAACTAGGGGTTGATGATTATAAATGCATTTTCGTTCAATCCTTTGAAAAAAATAGAACTAGATTACATCTTTCTAACATCTAGGAGGGTGGTTTAGCGTCACCTATCTTTCTTTACTTTAATGATGTTATTAGATTAAATCTATCTAGCATCTAGTATGTCGTTTAATAGCTAGGTAACTAATCAAGTATCATATATTTGGTTAACGAATCACTAAGGAAAGATTAGAGACAATATATATGTTTCGTCTTATGATAAATATTCATGTTAAGGTAGGTAAATAATTGAATCAATAATCAACGATTAAACCAAAAGTGGATACGAAACTTTCCATTCTTGTTATTTCTAGCTATTTTCTTTTACTTATTTACAACTTACCATAAACACAAATCCTCTTTTAATTCCTTTGCATTATAAAACGATTATGACAATAGAAACCGTTAATTAGGCCACTTTCCTATGAGTTCGATCCTTGCTCGCCTTAGTTATACCCTTGTGGTTGGATTTTGTGAGGAAAATACAAATAACTAATTGTTTAGTGGTACGACACGCCATCAATAATTATAATTGAACATTATGTGTTTTTTATTTTTTTAATTTAATCGTAATTGGACCTTATGTATATTTGAACTAAATAGCATAATGTTAAATTTGTCTAGACACCTAAAATGATTTAGAATATTTAAAAAATATTTTTTTAACTAATACAAAGTACTAAAAAATTATCTTTGATAAGTAAAAAATGCCACAAGGATAATATAAAAAATATTTATTGGTAATACAACAAAGTGAAAATTATTGGACTAATGTTATGATCTTGAGACAATAAATTTCTTGAGAAAAATGTATTTTTATTGCCTAATCTTGATTTTTTTTTTTCAATTCCTAACCTTTGTTTTTTTTTCCTCCTATTTGAGTGCCTCCGGACACCTAAGAGTAAGGATTGATGATGTGTCTAGAGTTGATCGTCACATGATATTTATTTACCACCACGTGGTAACTTTTGCTAGACACGCCAACAAATTTGAGTCTCAAGTGAATTCGAACCAAAACAAACAAAAAATTAAAACTTAGGTAGCAAATCATTAGAAATTAACAATTGGGCACAAAAAAAATTATTTCCTCCTAGTTAATATAGTTCTTGGATATGGATATTCATTTTAGACCCTATTAATATCTATTACTTTTGTTTTTTTTTTTTTTTTGAAAAAAATAACATGTAAGGAACATGAGTGCACAAATTTTATAAACTAAGAACCAAAGCATTTTTATGAAAACTTTGAAGACCAAAATAATTATAAATAAATGACTAAATTGTAAAAATAATTGATTTTAAGGATCAAAATAATTTGTTTAAAAATACAAGGACTAAAAATATTTTTTTATAAAATATTTTTAGCATGTAATTAATAAATATTAAATGAACATATAAATTGAGTATGAATAGAATATAAATTTTAAAAGTAATTTTTTAACAAACATAATTTAACAATAATTTTTTAACAAGTAAGAACATAGTATTTTTAATGTGGAGAGTAAGAAATTTATTTAATGGATTGGATAATGCGATCCATTAATTTAATAATAATTTTTTAACAAGTAAGAACATAGTATTTTTAATGTGGACATTAAGAAATTTATTTAATGGATTGGATAATGCGGTCCATTGTCATCTTTAAGGCGGTTTAATGGCAAATTTTGTCTTATTCTATTGCAATTTGATAATTTCAAATTTATAATATTAAATTACATAATTTGAATCCCAAAGTATTGAAGATTAGACAAATGTGATTCAAATTACCCAACTTTGTTATATGTAATGGTCAATCGAGATGATCGTTACTTAGAATACCAAAACAACGTCGTTTTGGCATTCCGCTATTAATTATGCTTTTTTCTTAAATTGAAAAATATCTTTAACCCCTATTCTTGATTTTTTTTAAAATTTTTTTCTTACAAAATATTATAAAAATTTTATAAATTATATAAAAAACATTTTATAAATATTTTTAACCCCTAATTTTGATTTTTTTTAAAAAAAAAACTTTTTTCATAAAATGTTATTGTAAAAAAGTATAATTAACAATACACAATTTCGAGCCTTAAAAAAACATTTATAAATTAAAATAAACATAATTAAAGGTTGACCCTCCTAATTTTGTAAATTAAAAAAATATTTTTTATAAAATATTTATAATATTTTATAAAAAAAAGTTAAAAAATTCAAAATTAGAAGGGTTAAAAATATTTTTTAGAAAAACATAATTAACACTCGGAATGCAAAAATCACGTTGTTTTGACATTCTAAATAATGATCAACTAGATTGATAGTTATATATAACGAAAATTAAACAATGTTTATCATATTTACCTAATGACATCTCTAATATTTTAGGGTTTAAATAATGTGATTGGGTATTATGAATACGAATTTATTAAATTGTAATAGAATGGGGCAAATTTTACTATTAAAAAAAAAAACCTATCAAAAATCAGAAACCAAACCAATTGATTTGTACTCGAAACAACCCAACCCCACACGAAACCAGGTCCAAGAGCCAGGGTAAATAATTGATTGGAGAAAAAACGGTAGATGTTTGAGCACTAAAAAAACTTTTAAAAAAAGCTCAGCCTCCGACGAAAAAGCTTTGCCGCTCTGCTCCAATAATGAATTTGACATAATAACAGCTACACTGCATATACAGAGCAAGCAAGCAAGGAAGAAAGGAGACAAAGAGAAGAGAAGCACAAACACGAAACCAAGTAGCAGACAAGGCAGTGTTTTTTTGAAATGGAAAGACGAGAACAGGGGAGATGTGCTCCTCCAACTCCATCCCCTTCCAAATTTGCTGCGTACCAAAACCCAGCATTCTCTGCTGCCCTAACGGTCAAAAGCCTCCTGCCCTCTAAATCCGCTCTCCTCTTCATCTTTTCTCTATCCTCCGCTTCCGCCTTTTCTCTTATCTCCATCATCTCCAGGTATTTAACTTGGAATTATATAGGATGTAATTGATTTCAGAATGTTGAACTGTTGTCTTGAAATTTTATCCCATTATTTTTATCTATTTATTTATTTATTATTATTATTTTTTTAGATTGGTTTGTTTGGTTGCAGAGAAAATGTAAAGGGTGGATTTTTTTTTTGGTTTAAAAAAGATTGCCGTTTCACGCGCTTCTACGTGGTTTTTTAGTTTAATAAACTAGGGCTTAGGACTTAAGGTAGGAATTTAGAATTATATATAAGGATTTCGCTGCTTGTTTGGGATTTCCACACACACCACACCCCCCCACCCCACCCCCACACCCCCCCCCCCCCTCCCCTACTTCTTTATATAGATAGGAGGGTTTTCATGATGATAATGGGATTTGATTTCCTACACAAATCAATATTGAGGGAATAGTTATAGTACCTATGTTCAGATTGCTATATAATGATTGGGCTTCTTTCTTTTCTGAAAAATGTTGTCTGTTAAGAAACACCACTCAAGTGGTAATTAAGTTGATTATCTTGTAAAACAACTCAAGCTTTGTGGTTTCAGCTGCTAATTTTACCTCTTATGTATCTTGGCAAGATAATATGTTAAATTTGACAAAGACCTTAAATTTATTCTTGAAAGATTTTTTTTTTAGTTAGATCCCATTTGACTAACACTATATTGGCTTCTAAATTATGAAGGGAAAATGGGTTGATTGAAATGTTGAGCTTCAGAGTTTTTTCACAAGAAGTGGCTTGTAAGTTGTTGAGTTGAGCAGAATATCCTTAATTATCTGAATTAATTATTTCCATTTCCATTACTATGTTTGGAAGTTAACTTTAATTATAATTGTGTCAGATTTGTTTGCCAAGGCAGTGCAGGCAGTGGTGGGTTTAGTATTTATTGGATCTGTATTTTCCATCTTTAAGGTCATCTCTTTGTACAGAGTAAAAAATGCTGGTGTGCCTATAACATCTCCCTCTAAAGATCAACCACGGCTAACAAACCGTCAACTGGGGCTTATAGGAGTAAGGCCAAAAGTTGAGCCTGTTTTATCTGAATCTTCAAAGAAACCTCCCAAGTCTAACCCCGCACCATCTGCTTCCAATGTCCTTGTTCCAATTCATCAGCTAATTACCCGTTCCCATCAGAAGTCTCAAGTTGGCTCTGATAAATCAAATACTGGCAGTGGAAATAAGATGGCCTCTTTTAGCACCTCATCCAAATCACGGAATTCTCCATCTTCTTTTTATCTTGTCCCTGGGATCAATTCACCTCTGCCTTCTGTTCAGAGCTCTCCAGGGATTGATTCAGCAGTCTCAACCCCTTGGTCAGATAAGCGGGCATCCTCTACTAAAGAGATAACAACAGAAGAACAGCTTGAGCAATTCTTGGCAGAAGTAGATGAGAAAATCACTGAATCAGCTGGTAAATATGCCACTCCACCTCCCACCATTGGGGGTTTTGGCATGACTAGCCCTAATACTGTGGCAAGTCCCGCTAATACCTCTGGAGCTACGAGGAGCACACCCTTGAGGCCTGTGAGGATGTCTCCTGGTTCCCAGAAATTTACCACTCCCCCAAAGAAAGGAGAGGGTGACCTTCCTCCACCAATGTCCATGGAAGAGTCCATTGAAGCTTTCAAATATTTGGGCATCTATCCTCAAATTGAGCTCTGGCATGACCGCCTCAGGCAATGGTTTTCATCAGTTTTACTCAATCCTCTGCTTGACAAGATTGAAAGCAGTCATATTAAGGTCTAATCGTTGCTTACATCTTTTCTGTATTTTGACAGTCTAATTCAGCAAGTCATTTGTCATCATACCATGTTTGTTATCTATCAGTCACATTCATCTATCCTCTAATTTATCACTCAAATGTGGGAGTTGATAATGTCCAATAATTTGGCATTCAAGACTCCTAAGGAAATGTCATCTGCATGTTGGGAGCACTCAAATACATTTATGTGCAGGTTCTCTTGTCTCTATTTTAGGCAGAAGCATATTTAATCACACCGTTATTGTTATTCGTTTGAGAAACTTCATGGTACATTGGCCATTAATTTTGCATAATTTGCAAAAGCTTAATTTTTTTTCAGTCATTATGAGTCCCTAATATTGCAGAAGCTGAACCTATTATATGGTTACTTTCCTTTTCTGTTCAATGTCCACAATCTTTTTTTTTAAAAATAAAATAAAATGTTACTCAAAATGTTTCTAGGTAATGCAAGCAGCTGCCAAACTTGGTATCTCGATCACAATTAGTCAAGTGGGAAGTGATACACCAAGTGAAAATCATGCTACCATGTCTTCAGTTGATAGGAAGGAATGGCAACCAGCATTCTCTCTTGATGAAGATGGACTTCTCAGTCAGTTACGTGCTACTCTTCAACAGGCACTTGATGCTTCCATCCGTAAGTGCTCCATCATAAATAAATAATAAAAAGATAAGGAACAAGAAATTTGGTTGGGGGTTATTATGTGATGTATAATTAGTTGATTAATGTAAAGAACAAACACTCAAGAAAACCAATTCTCAGAAAGTTACTCGATGTATTTAATCAATCAATCTGCATAGCATTACTTCAACATGTAATTAGGATGCATATTTATAGGTGCCATACCAAATAGACATCGTAACATAAGCTTTAAAGAAAACCTCTTGTTTCTGAAAAATAATGTTGCATGGGAATAAACAATGGCTATAATTCTAACTTTCAACTTATTTATACTAAAGTGACAATAAAATCATCCAGCCATATATTAGGATTACAATAAAATCGTCCAAATAATTTAAATTGTCACATGTTAGTCACATGAATCTAGCTTATAATGCATAAAGCAGTATTAAAAAGATAATTAAAAGCTCCTGCATCACTAATGGTAGTAGGAAAATTAAAACATCCTAATAGGAACAGAAAAACTTACTAAATAAGGAGGAGTTATATTATGCTTTACCTAATAATTAGTAAATACAAATTTCCTAAATAATATACTAAAAATCTAGAATAATTATACAAAATTAAAATCCCGAATAGTCAAATAGTAATTCTCGTTGCTGTCTCTCTTCATTCCCCATCATTATGTGGATCATTGGTAGGAATTTCACGCTCATCTAATATCTAACTGGATGCAGCTAAGTTACTTTTATCCAGTCTCCAACAATCCCCACAGCAAAATCCTATGATACCAATTATGCAGCTGTGTGTGGATGCCATCACTGAACACCAGAGGCTTCTTGCATTAATGAGAGGAGAGTGGGCCAGAGGTTTGCTGCCACATAGCAATGTTCGGGAAATTTATATGGTTCAAAGGATCCGAGGTATGCAGAGTTCTATACTTTTCACTTAATGCCTATAGCCTATAATGAATATCTATCATCTTCATTCGGCCTCCATTTATTCTACAAGTTACACTTCAGCTCCCTGCTTGTGTAATTGTAACAGAGCTTGCTGAAGGCACCTGCTTGAAGAATTATGACTATCTGGGAAGTGGGGAAGTTTATGACAAAAAGAACAAAAAGTGGACTCTTGGGCTTCCAAATGATTCTCATTTGCTTCTATATCTATTTTGTGCTTTCCTTGAATACCCAAAGTGGATGTTGCATGTAGATCCTACATCTAATACTGGAGCTCAGTCTAGTAAGAACCCCTTGTTCTTGGGGGTTCTGCCTTCTAGAGAAACGTTCCCTGAAAAGTACATTTCTGTCATATCTTGTGCTCCTTCCATTCTTCACCCAGGAGCTTTAGTACTAGCTGTTGGAAAGCAAAGCCCTGCTGTATTTGCTTTATACTGGGATCAGAAGCTGCAGTTGTCTCTTCAGGTAGGTGGCTAATGGGGTATGTTAATTTTTTAGTAATAGATGGAAAGACTAAATAATAGAATTAGTTAGCATTCCCTAGTAAAAGGATTAGCAAGGCAGAATGTTATATGATAAATGAAATTTGATCATGGAAATAACCAAATGTGACTGCATTAGTTTATTAGATAGGATAAGTGGGTTGTTATTGACACAAAATAACAATGAAGCTCGATAGATAGATGAAAGAACAGAGGCATATGGAAGTAATGGGAGATGGGGCATGCATGGCAATGATGACGAAAACAACATTTAACCTATATTAACTTATTAATCATTTACCAATCTCAGTGCAAACACAATCACAATTTGATGATGGTATTTCACATTACTATGCCTGTTCCTAATGTGCTTGTGCACTCTGTTTTTGGATGATGCACTTTGAGTGGAGACATAATGGTGTAGTTCTTGACTGCAACAGTGATACGTGTGTGCTAAAGCAATAATATTTGTTGTGTTGCTTGAAAGATTTTTTTTTTTTTTTTTTTTTTTCCAGGGAAGAACAGCTTTGTGGGATTCCATCTCGCTCCTGTGCCATAGGATCAAGGTTGGATATGGAGCTGTAGTTCGGGGCATGCATCTTGGTTCATCAGCCTTGAGCGTCTGTGCAGTTCTTGAGTCAGAAACCGAAGACTGACTATTTTCAGGCATGTCTCAATGCTGCTTGATATGATAGCCTGCTTACGTAGAGATGGAGACCTTACGGGACTTGTTGAAACTCATTTAATTTAAAAGGGCTGTCTAAAATTGTTTCATGTGTCATGTGGTGCCCTTATTGTTGGAACTTGGAAGTACACTTTTTTACACCCCCTGACGATTGACTTAGATGACTGGGGCTTCCAAGTGGAGGATGGTTGTTTGAAAGTTACGAGATTGCATAATCTTGGCCAGAGAACTTGAAGGAATTTTTGTCAGTGTTTTAATTTCTTTTCGAGTCCTTTAACATACGTCTTCATTCCCACCCTCACCCCAACCAACCCCCCTCCCCGCGGGGCACAAAAAAGGAGGATTAGAATTTAGATAACCTTTTGTGCATTGCTAAGCTAATAAATATTCATGTTGATCAATCCACACAATCAGGGTATCTTAAGTAGTGTTTGGTTTCTGTTTGGAACGAGACGAAACAATATGAAGGGGACGAGGTGAAAGTGAAACAAGTGATAGAGACAGAATCGTATTTGATAATGGTACCGGTATCCAAGGTAGTGTTTTTGCATCTTGTTTGATTGATGGTGGACAATACAATGCATCATTTAGACAAGTTTATTTAACTCTTATATTGTTTCGTTTTTATATAACATGTCTGAAACACTAAATAAGCTGCTGCTGCTGCTTCTTTTTTTTTTTTTTTGGCTATATTATGCATGTTTTACTTATTGAATAATGATTTTTTTTTTCTTTCACAATATGCAGAAAGTGGATTATTAATTTAGTACAAAATTTCCTACTTCAATTTTTAATGGAAACTTCAAAAAAATATATATATTTATTAAATAAACACAATTTACCTTGGTTAATTTTTTTATTGATATATATTACAAAATGAATTATAAAATAAATTATAATCTGCTTTGATTAATTCATTTTCTGCAAAATTCATTTGATCGATTAAAAAGAGAATCTTGTAATACAATTTTATATATAATAAGCATTTTACAAAAATTATATTATGAAAAATGAAAAAAGATCATTTTTGGGCTTATGACCAAGCTCACTTGGGCATGGATGTAGCCCAGAAGCAAAATGCGGACAAGGCCGACAATCATTCCAAATCATACTTTCTGCTGTCTACTTACAAAAGGAAAATACATAAAAACACTCAACCTCATAAATACAAATCTAATCTTAAAACACATTTTTAACCAACAAATTAAATTTTGAAGTTTTTAGACCTAGAACTTCAAATGCATATACCTCTCAAACTTTTTGATAAAATTGTATGATTTTGATGCCTATAAATTCTTAGGGATGAAATCTTTCATTTGATTATAGTGTTCGTTGGTTTATGATTGTATTCCTTCCTATCAAAATTTTATTTCCTCTCTTTGTAATATTCTTATATTCATGAATTTTTTTTCTTTTATATTTTTAAGTTATTGAATCCAATAATCCAAATTAACTATTGTAAAATTAATGATTCATATAATATTTCAAGCTGTCGTTGTCCCTTCTATTTCGGATAAATCTGTTCATAGGCTAGGTCGAGCATAGGTCAAGCTTGGTGAACTTTTTTTCAAGCTTGGGTCCTACTAGGCTCGTGTTAGGGTCGAAGCTAGGTTCGAGCTCGGCCCAATCGGAACCTTGGGCAAAAGTGGCGAGCTTTTGTGCCTTATAAAAATGAAGAAGCAATTAGAACAACTATAATCATCTTATAATTTTATTGAACTTTTACAAATCAAGTGTGTGAAGAATAATTGCCCCCCCCCCCCCCGATCCACCCCTCCCTCCCAAAAAAAAAACAAAAAAAGAAGAAGTTTGTGAAGATCCAAGGGCAAACCAAGACAAACCTAAATCTTAAAATAACCTCCAATCCATAGTACTTAGCTCATAAAGAATCACCATAAAATATATCTACTCATACAAGATCATAAATCAAAGCCATAAACTCTCTTCAAAATAATAGTTTTGCTCCAATAAAGGGAAGCTTTCATGGTGGATGGTGATAGATGATGAATCATTTTGGAGGGGGAAGAATATGTGGTAATTTCAATTTGTTGATCATGTAATTGATTTGAGAAAGGGACAATGATTAGGAGAAGCTAAGGAAGAGGTAGGAGGAGGTGAAATGGAGAGAGGACAAATTAAAGAGTTAACGTTTTAGGTTTTTTAGGTGCGGTTAGCAAATCGTGATTTCTTGCAAAATAATGAAGATTGGAAGAATGTAGTATTTTATGACTATGAATATAGTTAGTTGGTGTGATGTTGTCGTGTGCACTCAAATTAAACTCCTAAACTCCTACAACATAAATGTAGTAAGGGAGAGTAGGGATCGATCCCACGAGGAATTCAATCGCGTTAGTCATCCCAAGTCTAGAAGAAACATGAAATAAATAAAAAGGAGGGTTTTGATTTGATTGAGATATAACTGAAACTAAACAAATTAAATTCGGAAAACGAGTTTAAAATAAATATTCAAGTAAACAAACCTTGGTTCGAGTCACATCCACTTTTGAAACTTGAGATTTATCCTTGGTGCAAGAAATATCGGATTCTCATTCAAATATTTGTTGTGATATTGTAATCAATCTTTCCTAATGATTAGCCAACTAGAAACATGTATTCTAATCAACCCTCATTATTTAACAACCCTAGATACGATCTAAGATTTAATCAAACAATGGTTTTATGTATTAGAAAGATCAACAAAGCAAGACAACACAACACATATAGTTGCATTTAATATAGTTGAACAATCCTCCTAAGAGTTATTAGTTTCGACGCAACAAACCATACACTCCTAGTTGCTACACAAATCAAAGGGATTGAACAATTACGGATTCAATATTCGATCTAGCTATAGATTATCTAAGTTAATAAACTAACTATACACATTAGAAATTAACCTAAATAATCATGAAAATAAGCATATAAGAAAGTTCAATACTTGAAATAAATAAACCGATTTGCATTAATGTTGAAGCACCTCAAAATCTTTGATTTCTAAAAGCTTCAGTTACCTTTACCAAGGAAAAGAGTTTAACTACTCATGGCAGACCGCCATAGCATGAGAGAGAGAGAAAAAAATAAAGTTGCCTATACTTATGAAGAATAATATCAAAAGTGTCTACCCTAGTCTGCTAGGTTTCTATTTATACAAGTTGTCTATTTTTCAAAAAGGGTACACAATATTCTCTCCTCTTTTGGTGGGCTGGCGTCTTTTTCTAGCAAATCGTAACAAATTTTGTTTCTAGTTGAAGTCCGTTGTCTATTTCTACGGATTTCAACGTGCCCGCGTCAAGTTGCAACGTGCTCACGCTTTCATGTCCTTGTGTGTCTATGTTTGCTCGCATCCGCGTGCCCACGCTATTACTCTTACGTGCCCATGCTTCTTGTGCTTTCCGAGTGGTTGAATTAGTTCGATCATAAATTCTCTTTATATGATTCTTTTAAGGCTATTTTTCAATCGGTTCCACATCCTAGCACATAGAATACAAAAACGAGTTAAGGTTTATCATTTGGACATCTCAAAATAATCAAATGTATGGGAATTTAGTAATTTAAACACATGCATTTAAAGCATTATCAAATCCCCCACACTTAGCTCATGCTTGCCCTCAAGCATGCAATAATCCGGACTCATCAAACCAACCCTTTGAACCCCTCATTCCGTATCAACCAATCTTTCCATACATCACAACACAAAGCCTCAAAGGGTTGAACTAAAAACATGACGAAACAAGGCAATTGCTACAAAAACTCTATACCTTTTATAATCATGCATAACAAACCCCCAACTGTCGGTTAGACTAGAAATGTAGCCAAATTCATCACCCTTACCAAGAATTCTTTCAAAAGCGCTCACTCTCAAGTGAATGCACGGAAGAATCCTAACCATAAGCTTGCCAAGCTATCATATCTCCACTACTAAGTATTGAATCAAACGCAAAAATCAAAGGGTCTTATGATAGGGTGAAATGGGGTCGAAGGTAAGGTTTGGTGAAGGTTAATTTAATCTAAACAAGTTAAGAATCCTATACAAGTTTTAACCTTTAAAATCTGATTTCTCAAGCGTTACATGCTCACTTGTGTTTTTCATAAGTTGCTAATCCCAATCTGTTTCCTTTATTATTTCTTTCTTTCTTTTCCTTTCTATCGTCGCTTTTTGTTTATTTCTTTTTTTTTTTTTTTGAAAATAGAGTCGATCACAGCGAGAAAACATGCACTAGTGAATTACAAGCATTGGGACAACAACCTTTTTGGTGTTTTTCTCAACAAAATCAGAGTCTCACTTAATTAGACTTGTACAACATTCTTGACTTAAGGTTCAAACGGGGGTTGTTCATCAAATAAAGGGATTGATTGGTTTGTATTATGATTATTTAATCAAGAAAAGGCTAAGGCTCAAACTTGGTTCCTAAGGGTAAAAATCAAGGTAGGCTTTTAAGAGGTTTTAAAATGGCTAATCCTAGGTGCCCTTATCATCTTAATGCATTTAATTCAAAGGTGTAGTCTCAAAATGTATAGCAAGGCAAGTTCTAGAAGGATTCAACTTACAAAAACAAATACATAATCAATAAATAAATAAATCTTATATAGATGCATGCTCAAAGGATTAAAAGCTCACATATATATGTTTTGTGTGAAATCTACACATTTCTCACTTAAAGTGATTATTGGAGGGTTGTACTACACAAAGATATCAAGCAAGAGTGTCCACATGTTCATGCCCATTCCTATCTAATTTTTATCCAACTCAATGATTCAAATAATTCCAATCCATTTCAAGACAAGTTTTAATAGAATTGAAGATTTCAAAGGGGGTTTAACTAGTAAAATAACAATAAAATTAAGGATAGCATGATCATAAGTGAGCAAAAATTCACAACAACAAGCATACACAAATGCAAGATAAACCCTCTCCCACACTTAGGCAACACATTTTCCTCAATGTGGACTCCATTCAACAACAAAAAATCA